AAAAAAAAAAAAAAAAAAAAAAAGGTGAAAAATACTAAATACAATGTATTTTAGTACGCAGAGATTAACAAACCTTACAAAAAAAAAGTAGAAACTAAAATGAGTCAGAATCATGCACAAAGCACGAACGGGATATCAGAGCTGTCAAATTCGTTTATTGATTGGATAAGAATAAGAAAACCAAGTAAAGGCAGCATACTTCCGATTCCTTCAGTAAATCACTGTGAAGTATATCAAGAAAATAATTGAATGCTGCCGAATCAAAAGCTTGACGAACATAGCCAACATGATCAATCTCCTGGTCACGAACAAAAAGTTAAAATTGAAATAATATGTAGTATTCATAAATTCTCAAACAAACAAGCACTTTTCGCAGACCCACATACCAGCAGCCCATTGTGTTCCTCTTTTCCGGGAAGTGATGATATTAGACACAAGAAAACTGCCCATGTTAGTAACAGAGGGCCTGCTTCTTTTATTTCGAAAGCATTCAAACTAGAGACTATTGCATCCATCTCTTGAAAATCAGACGAGGTAAAAACTGAAGCACCCTGCCTGTGGAATGGAAAAGTACTTCAAAATGAGAGATAAGAAGGAGAGACATGACCTATTAGGAAAAAAATGCTAAAAAACCAAATTAATAAGTAATAGACACAAGTAGTTGCCCCTAATCCTACTCTTATGGGGAACATTTCATCGAAAAAATGAAATAAATAAGGCAAAGACATCTAAAGTCGATGAGAAAATTAAGGCCATAGTTACACAAGTCCTTCACAAGGGAACTCAACAAGGAAGCGATGAAAACACTGATCTCTCAATCAACGTTATTTTACATATTTGGACAGGAAGTGCTCCTGTCCTCATCTCTTCCTGATCTCTGAACTTAAATTTAATAAATATTTTATCTTTATTTTACATATTATGGATTTCATATATTATTATCCGATGTTAAACATAATTGAATATTCATCAACGGGGGGAAATTTGCTAACGCCAATAGATGGAACCTCCTTAAACAAAAAGATCCCCAATCTCTAAAAGACAACAGCACGATTTACAAACACAATCACAACCGATTAATAGCCGACTAATTTCTAGCAACTACCTGAACTAAAGGTGTTAAGTATTTAAAAACACGACTCAAGAAGTATCCTACTAGCAAGCTTTAAATTCATACATCCACATGTATAAAAATAGTATATGATCTCTACTGGCATTGTGACTCCTACTTAGGAAAACTAACATAAATCAGAAGTTACAGATAAATGGATGAGGACAGAAAATAGGAAAATAAATTAAAGAAAAAACAATTAGGAAGAATGAATAAAAGGATCCCAATTTCAATAAACAACACTTGAATAATGATCAAAGAAGTTTGAAGGTGAACACTAATGAGAAGCCATTAGCCTAGATAGATCAAAACATTCAAACCAAACCATACTCCTTTCTTTAAGAATTCTTTGATTCCGCTTGAACCATTGAATGAGGACTATCAAAGGAAACATTCAATCAGTTTTACACTTTCACAATCGCTTTTACACACTTCTACACTTTTCACATTTCAACAGTGATTGAAACTATATGTTCATAAAGAAAAGGTAAAACATCCTTATTAATCGGCCATCTAGCAATCCTAAAATATAAAAACATTACCAAACAAGATGAAAACCTGAAAGTTGTTTGATCATGAACCATCTGGAGAAGACTTTCTAGGTCCAACGTTTCCATAAGGATAAATAATAGTCGAACTTTAACTTGACAAGAAGAATGTATTGCTGCACTTGATATTGAAAGCATTTCAATGTTATAAGATCCAGATATGATTCCCTGGACCACTTGCATCGTTAGCATATATAGGATAGTAGAATACTTATAGAAGTATAACAAAGGAAGAGATACACTGGCCTGGACACACGTTATCCAAAAGAGAGAGAGAGAGAGCAATAGAAAAAACAGATGTACCTTATAAAGCAGGCACAATGCCCTCCATCGCTCACCATTACATCTAACAAATGACTCATAGTATGCAATAAACAGAATGTCCAAAATTAGATTATCTTCTGTCAAAGTCTCTTCAGCCCAAAATGTGAAAAGGTCAATGTCCTACATAGCATTCCAACGGTTATTATCCAGTTAAAATCATCAACAAATGTGGTGGTGGGTGAGTGTATTATAGGGACAGAAGTAAACATCCAAGTAACATTCAAAGCAACAATTCCAGAAGAAACAAGAAATAGGCTATACGCTCTGATTTCAAGGTAATTGTCTTCTTCTTTTAGCATTTTGAGAGTGTCCAGGCAACAATCACCTCAACTAATCACACGTGATAATAGAGAAGGCATGGTCATGGACAGAGACGTGAGCTCTTGCTAAGTTTAATTTTACCCTTTGAGAATCTACCTCGAAGGATGTTTGTAATTATCCTCTCGATCCTATTTTGGAGCCCTTTCTTATCCTGCTAGAACTTTAATTGTTGCTCGGGCTCCTTTTTCTGGGATGTAGTTTTTGTAAGCCCCTTTTATATTCATTCCATTTTCAATGAAAGCTCAACTTCTATCAAATCTCTTTTAAGACAAAAATAAATAAAAACCCTATAATCTCAAGAGACAACCACTAGTTTTACACATTTGGTTACTAGTGGAAGCTCAATCTATTTAATATACCATGTTAGTTTTTTTTATGAGCAACTACAAGGGAACAAAATGACAGCCCAAAAAGAGGGCCTCCACAACTACTGATAGACATACTCCAATCCAAAAGAATAAATCATAGCCAGTACATAGCAGGAAAAATTATTAAATCCAAAAAACTAACAAACGTAGAGAAAGAATCCCTCAAAAGATTTTTATTCCTCTCGTTTCTAATAAATCAAAAAAAAAAAAAAAAAAAAAAAAAAAAAT